ACATTTTACTTCTTTCGTTATTGTTTATCCTAAGGTCAATGATTTTTTCTTGTATTATAATCTACTTCGAGAATTTTTATAATAATCACTGTCCTTCATTTGTTAAATATTCTAAAATTGACCTTAGGATAAACAATAACGAAAGAAGTAAAATGTCGGGTAACTCTGACATTTAATTATATGTGAAAAGTTTATCCACTACTTAGTTCATTATTTATGCATAATTGATGCATTTAACATTTACTTTGTTTATTAGAGTGACCATAGATAATTTTACAGAATTGGACGTAATAAGAAAAGAAGTCAAAATCTCTGCTATGTCAGAGATCCAATTTCACAATTAATGGCCGTGACTATTATTGGCAGACAAAGGAATTGTCATCTTCTTACTCATGAGGAGCGTGTACAATACATTCAATACTCTTTGATCTGAGGTTCAAGTTAAATATTTCAAAGAGGGAGCTTCAAATCGTGTGCACAATAATTTAGGGACATTATGTGCAGTAAATGCAAACTCGCTTTGCAAAGATTGAATTGCAGCGTAAAGAACTTTGAAATAGCACAATGAATGAGTAAAATCAAAGCATGTTTGCGGATTTCTGCGTTCAGTTTCCGGAAAATGAACTACAATAAAAGACCCTAGGGGAATAGATTTATATTTTCCATCGCAGCTATACACCTCTAAAGTTCTACAATATTTCAAAGAGCATTGAATTGAAAGTTATTTCTTTCAGATTAAAAAAATATGTCGGTATTTATCGAAGCTTTTTAGTGAATAAGAGATAGAGAGCACCAATCCGCAGTTAGTTGTCTAATTATTCTGCTCGAACACTAGCTAAACAATGGGAGCCTAATTTTGCATCTCTGCGAGGAAAATCAGACGCTGGATACAAAATTATTTAAGAAGAGTTTCAACTTGGGATAACTTTTCCTTTAAAATGCGATGTTTCGAAGTCCAAGTTTTGTGTTATGTATTTAAGACTTACATTCAGGAATAACCAATAAACGTTTTTATCCACTTTGAACAATGGCCATTTCTCGGGAGATTTTTGTAAATAAAACCACAGCTGATATTATGAAATTGAACAAGTCCTCCTATAAATCAATTAACTTAGTTAACTTGTGAAGGGGATAAACAAGTTAAGTAAAATATTTTCAAGATAATTACTTCCGTTATGTCTTATTAGACAACAATTTAACTTCAGAAACAGATTTTCCTGCATTGAATAAAGTAGGTGTTATCAGTTTTGAAATTTTGATAAATGAAATTCGTTTCTGGATTTTTATAGTTCACTCATTAGTATTGGGGTTTCTGATCTCGAAAACGAGTTATAAATGACAAATTTAGCAGATTTATCTAGAGCAACTGAGTCAACCGTTCTCTTTGCCTCTCACCTGATAGAGGCCATATAATTATTAAGTTCATACTTCCCTAAGGATGTTAAAAGGCAGGGCAATGTTTAGTAAACCAAAGTCAACAGTTACATGGCTACACCCTTGACAATTTCAAATAGGTAAATAAATAAACAGCTCGATTCACAATTTTCACCTGATTATTATTATTATTATATCAAATGGCCAGCGTTTTGATAGTTATCATTAGCCCTTTAGTTGACTTCAGTCTTCACAGAGGGGAAGAAACATCAAAGTGTAAAAAATTCAAGAGGGGGGAGGGGAAACAGAAGAGTGTATCAAAGACGAAGGTAGATAAGGTGGAAAAAAGGTGGGATGAGTACTGTGAAAGTAGTTGAATATGACATACAGTGGGGTCATGGTAGTTTGAAGTCAACTGCCAGGTAATAGACATTTTTGCCGTATGAGTATACGTTGCCCATTGTGCATCACGTGAAGGTAAGTCTATCACATACCCCTTCACCTGATTATGAACCTGCTTAAATATTGAACAGAACATAATGCATTTCAAATAAAGAATGTGAACTGGTCCCTTTGAAATGCCAAAACGGCTGTTGAAACTTGCTGTTGCACCTTTGCATTACTTAACTTGGCATGTGCCATCAGCTGTAATTAATTTTTCCAAAGTATGACAATTGTACCAATTTGACCTGAATCCATTCCTTGACACCGTTCACTTAACAATCTGACACATGGGATAACCGAAAAGTAAGATTTTGGAAAGGAAGGTAGAAGGAGAGATACACTTTAATTTTTACAAGAGCAGATTTTAACCAGTTGTCACCCCCCCCCTCTCTCTTTGTTGCCTTTGACAGATATTCTTCCACTATCACTTTGAAAATCTCTCTAAGGAGTGGAGCTACCATTCACTATCTGATTTTGATATTGATACTAATTATCGCGCGGATATTCCCTACGTTCTCGGTATCCTTAACGACTACGCACTTATGCGCAACACAAACAGCTTCTCCTCTGCTGCTGATTCTGAAGTCGGCCGGTTATCAATTGATGAAAGTAGTTTATTACTAGCACTCGGTTAGTATTCGATATAAAAGTCATATAAGGAGGGTGCTATTTGATCTATATCAACGAAATATGCATTGATTCATTCGAATTTATCTATTTATTTCTTTAAGTCTTTCAGACTGAATAACAAAATACATAACCCTGGTGTGGTATTAAGGTGTAAGAAATAGGGGGAATATATCAAACTTAACATTGGGAAATGGTTGGTCTTCAAAGCTTCTCAAAACCAGGCACTACCAGATGCCTGTTTTTTTACTTTGAAATAATGTTTACTTCAGCATATTATACAGTTCATTCGGTCAATCTAAATTATCAGCGAATGCTCATAGAACAACATGATTAGGATATAAAGAAGTGGGGCCTTAAATAGTACTGTTACAAAATGGATTTGAAGGTAAAATACGAACACATTTTTTGGAAAATCATGCTTTATTTGAAGCTTGAGCTGCAATTTGCGCCTCTTTGTTGTTGAAATCTTCAGGATAGGTAGGAAGTTCATTGCCTGAAAGGCAAGTTAGCCAATATTTCATTGTGCACCGGAAATGTAACAGCGATTCCACGTCATAAATATGAATCATTGGAGGTCATATTCTACCACATGGATCATGTGGCCGAGTGACAGTTAATGCTCGCACATCTCATGATCCATCCTTTGGTCGTCTGATACCGGAGTTAACCAACCACCTGAAGTTGTTCAAGTCTAAAGAATGAGGTGCTGCACCATTTTCATCTCCACTTCAGTAGACCAATAGGCCTGTTTAAGCTAACACTTTGTAACTTAGCAGAGCTTACCTAGTTGTGTCCACTCAATGTATTAGTGTTGTAACAAACTGACAGATTTCCATTAAGCTTTAGAAACAAAATTGAAATATTTTCAAAAATAAGTACCCGTTAGCTCCTTAATAAGACTAGAGTTGTACCAATTGGAAAGCAAGCTAAACGAAACTCAAACAGTGAAATACCCGAAGCAGACCACATTTCCAAGAAATAAAGAGCTACATTGCGAAAGGTCAATAAAGCTTTGTCTTTGTGAACGAATTGAAATCGGCCTAAGCTCTTAGGAATTCTCGTGATATAGACATGGAAAAAGTAGTTGTTAACAATAAGTTAATATTGTAAGCTATGGTGTTCTGGTACATGGAATAAGCGTAATCAGTCTAATGAGTGTTTAGATTCATCTCATGGGAATTAAAGGTGACACATTGTAAGAAAGTTCACGATTTTGATTCAATTCACAGTAATTGTTGAAGTTAATTATTTACGCTAAACATGAACAAAGTTGATTTTGATTAACTTTTGCACCATTTCTAGCACCAACGTAATAGATCTGTATTTTGCGTCCCAATAGGAATAGATGAAATGCTGATTTCTTCGCGATTAGAAGTTTAGTCATTAGAGTAGTATTTCCACTTGAAGCGATGCTTTATAAGGCTAGGTTCTTAATTGATACCAAGAAATGAAGGAATAAATAGACCAGTGATGGAGAATATCAGAGAATCTCATGATAACCTCACACATGACGATCTGCCAATTATGTAAATATTCTCCTCATCTACCAATACTAAATAACTTACAATTATATGTCTATTGTGCTTACCCTCACTAGAATGAGATCTTTATATTTGGAGTTCATCCGCTGTATTGAGTAAGTGGGATATCACAAAGGCCACATTGACACATTCACAAATTCTCTCAGTAATGGTACTATTAAGTGGGTGTCATTTTGTCGATGAAATTGACAATATTAGAGAAGTTGTGAGTATCATTTTTCTTTATTGAAATAAATCAAGTGTCGGTCAAGTGAATAGGCTGTGTCAGAGTTGGGGTTGAGTTCATTCCCCTTTGATCGGTTTATAGTTAATATAATATTTTCAAATGATTGTTAATTAGGCCATATCCAGTCGGTGGTCCCTTAACTTTACTGTATTACTTGAGCTTAGTAGTGAGTATAATACCCTCCGAATGTTTTAATAGTTCGGCAGTCAGGGAAGCATGGAACTAGCTTGAATTGTGCAGCATAATTGGAGGGTTTCAACAACGCATCTACTGTAGGGGATTTGATTACTTAAATGTTATCGCAGAGGTGAGTAACGCTAGGGACATTTCGGCTTCTCTGCCTGCTCTTAGGTTAGGGTACTTCGATACATTACAGTAACATCACACTTTTCCATGCACAGTTGCCATAATATAATGAGAGTTGACATTGATTCTTAACAAATGGGATCTTTTATAACATGTCTGTTGTCAACATTTTGCTACTTCAAATTTGTTTAAAATGAGCCCAATAAAAATTAAACTTTCTCATTAATTATATAAGTCTGTTTTAAATCCATCCAATATTTTTGAGGAAAGTCCGGTTAACCTCAAACTCACTACGAGTTTAGTTTTGAGAGGAATATTTCTTGAGAATGTATGATTATTTTCTACTAACGTGTGATCATAGTTAATTGCAATTAAACCAAAAGGCCTTCAATGCCAATTTGGCTTCGAATTAACAGCCAATTGAACTACCCTTCAAAAGCTCAAAGATTAGTAAATATACCTCTGAGGCAAACTTGAGAATGGCGGAAGATGATTGGAAGAAAGATTTTTAGTATGTAATATATAAAGATAGGGATTTGGGGTGTCGTGAGACACAATATAGGTGTGCGTTGAAGAGTTTGTATAAATACCTTGTAGGCAAAATCTACCAACAATCTGCTTTTCCTGAAATTTCGTATGAAACTAATAATCCAGACAAGTTTGACTCTCAATATCTCGGAAGTGAATCCACTTCGATATCTTGAGACCGCTTATGTTCCGATATCATTGTTTTTTCTGCTCGACTATTTTGCTCCTTCATGAGTAAAAATGATTTTCTATTGTTGAGAATCCTGTTTTTTTCAATCCGACGAGAAACGCTAATCAGTCTCATCTTCTTCGGTGTTGTGAGTGAAATCAAATTGTCGGGAATGGATATACATCACGCCTTATTGACCATCATCTAGTTAGCATTATTCTGATGTGTTCACAACTTTTAATGAATTTTGAAATTGTAGCTATTTGATAAATTCGGATAAAAGAATCCTTACCAATCAATTGATTAATCAATTAAAATTTCCACTTATACTTTATACCACCGTAGTGTTGGAGTGCTTTTCCCTGCTAGAAGTGAACGAGCTGTTGATTGCCTATAAGACCACTTACAAATACGTTATAATTTGTATGCAGGAACAAATTCAAATATTATATTGCCGTCCCATTTCCATAGTGAGATTTTTCCTCACCACCTTGGAGGACCTAGCATTTTCTGCTAGTATCTTTAAAGCGATAGAGTACTCATTGAAGGTAAGGAAGAATTCCGATTGAAACCAGTGGCATGTAATTGAGGGTTCTAGCAACCCAGTAGAAAAAGATATGAAGCCGATCCTTAAAATGATAAAAAACATCATTAAAATAGAACTTAGATGGTACCAGATTTACTAGTTTACTGTGAACTTTTAACTAAATCCCTAACCACCATTAAAACTGGAGTTATTCCATATTACTCAACATAAATAAGGTTAAAAGCAGTTTACAATTCAGTTGTTCTCTCGGCAATATTGATTCATACTGATCTAGCAAATTTCTAGTTGAAAATAGGAGCCCAACAGCAGAAATAAGCAATAAGCTTGTGGTATTAATGTATAAATAAAATGAATAAGTGCAGCAAAATGTTGAATCACTTTTTTTGAAATTTGTTTGCCTTGGTGATAAGAGCCGTGTTTAACATTGCCGCAGTCAGTCTATGTGGGAATAATGTGGCAATAGCTTGTATTTTGAGACCCGAACAAAGTTGTAGGACGACTAGTGCCTGTTTGTTTGTTCGAAACAAGCATGGTAGCATTCACTTCGGGTGAATTTGAGTAAGTCGACCAATCATAAAATCTTTATGGTTCTGTGCTCCACTTGTGTCTTGGCAACTGGAAGAAAAAGTATCATAATTGACTGATCAACCATTCAACTTAATAAACCGATTATAAACAGTGGTCGCCAAGAGCACGAATTCCCCCCAGAAGGTGTGGTGAAATGGTGAGGCTTGAACACTGGAACAGTGCACTATGAAGCAGGTGACTAAATCCGAGAATGCAAAGATCGTCGTTTCTAGGAGTTCTTAGATGGCATTACTTCTATTTGTCGCAGGCATTAGCTCATGTGGGTCTACTCATTATGCCCATGCCTACAACCATGAAAAGGTGTAAAATGGTTTTGTTTTCATGTGTAATAATAATAATAATATTAAGAAGAAGAAGAAGGATAAGAATAGTAATTAACTCAATTGAAATCGATAGGATTCCGATCAGCGTCCTGAAAATAGTGCCGGCGTTCATTTTAAAGAGTACATCCATTGTAGATCTATCAGTGGAAGTTCATGCCCTTATGTTCGAAGATTATCTTACCAATTCTCCTGGAATGTTTACTCTTAATGCAAATAAACAGCTTACACGCGATTTGCCGTTTACGAGTCGAAAAAATCAAGCAGTAATCTAAGCAGAATTTGATTATGACAGCGACAAACCGCCACAGTCATGTGAACCGTGATTTACGTGCAAGGAGTGCCTTACACACATATTGGGCACTTTGAAACAATGAATGGCTGAATGAATAAAGGAGTAGTTGGTGGCTTGCAAATAATGACTATGAGATCAAGCATTTTAAGGGGAGTCGACAAATTATTTTCGAGCTGACGCGTCAATAAATGATCATTTAATTCAATCTAAATGGTCAAAGAAACTAAGGACTGGGATCGCATAATCTGCATAGCTTGAATGATAATTTCAATGATTCAATTACCAGCCTTCCGTAGAGGTCTTCCAAGTATAAATTAGATAACAGTGAGTAAGTTTGGGTGGGAAAGAACGAATTTTGTTCGTGATTCAGCAGCTTGCTTCGCTTTGCTCAGAAGTTGCATCGCCTATGCCAGCCTATGATTTTCAAGGGACTTTTCTGTGAGAAGTCAAACTCCACAACCCTTACTAAGTGCAGGTTTCGCGGTAGAGTCTGAAAATCAATTCACTCGTTTGATAACACCCGAATTCCGATGCTTGTGTGCTTCTGCACTTTTTATGCAGCCAATTTCCGAGGGAATCAGCCACGCACGAGCAATCATAGCAGATATTCTGGCATGTCGCCTTCTTCTAGCCACAGCCATCCCACTGCTTCCACTACAATTCTCCAGTTCACACTAAATTCTTCTCCACTGTGTTGATGGGGAGCATCGAGCAGAGACCATAATCTCCCTACTTTGATATCCGTCCGGACCCATCACTAAGCAAGTCATTCCCCATCAGTAATCAATTCTCGTTATCACTACGTAAATGCACGAAGAAGAGTTTACATTTTTAAGGCAAGCGATATCTACGGGAACACCTTCAGTACATCTGTACTGAATTCTAACAATATAGCTATTAAACTGTAGTTTTATCTGGCTTACTAGCTCGCTCAATGGCGATATGGCTAACTTCTCGTTTTTCAGAAGACACGGTTGTTCCTGACTTTTTAAATATGGAATTTATAAAATTCATTGCCACAATGCGTCATTTTCTAATCCCTACGACAAACGAACGATATAACGGCGAAACCATCTCTGCTTTAACTAGAATCTACTTGGCATGATTCGAGAAGAAAACTGATAAGGGGACGGTGATGGGCAATTTTGATGTAGCCTTTCATTTTCACTTTAAAAAGATAACTAACACAAATAGTCTCTAAGTACCTAGTAATTTTGCTACTAACAATGCTTGAACCACCATATAAGCTCAACCACTTGGCAACTTGAAGTACAATTCATCATCTCAATGACCATGGCTTCCACTAATAATAAAACGCGACTCACTTTTATCAGCAAAACTTTCATTTCCCAACCAGTTGTATCCATCGAAGCTGTTTCATTTTATTACTTATCTCATGGAAGGAAACTCGTTTCGGCTACCTTTCCTGCTTAAGATTGCACAAGCACGCGAGCAAATCTTATGGAATGGCTTAACTTTTCCTCCCTCAAATTTCATCGCTTAAAAGAGGCTGAATCTTTTCTCCTTCTTTCTGCTAATGAAGAGTGAAAAGCCCCCCGAATCAGCCTCAAACGCATGGCAAATAGTAGGCTATTCCCAGATTTAGCGCCTTGTATGAGTCTATTCTCTGGAAAATAAAAAAAGCTTTTCGCGCATCGGTAAATAATGGCATTTTTATTTCATTCGATTTGGCAGCCATTCAACCATATAAAAAGCGTTAGAAATTTCCCCGATTTAAAACCTCTAACGCTGACTTTCGATGGCTAGAAAAAAGATATTTAATTGGAAAACAAGTTGATCTTAGCAAAACAAACAGACCAGTACCACCTCACTATCGACTAGCTGAAAGTTCCCTTTCATTTCACTTACTTTTGAAATATGAAGTTTAAATCATTAGCCTGCACCAAAAGTTGGAGTGGTATTCAGCAGTTGTCAATTCTAGGGAAACATCTTAAATATTTCAAATAATCATGGGCAATATTTCAAAAGCAGTACACTATCACATTTATCTTTCCAGGTATTTTGCAGACGAAAGTAAAAGCATTTTGTTTGAAACTACTTAAAATTCGAACATTTACTAACAATGACAAAGTCGAAGGTATAACCGGGAAACTAAGAGACCTCAATTTAGATATGGCTCAAACTCTCCAGATTAACTGCAGTTTCAAAATTTAATGAGACACTTCTGATTTTCCTTCTTCCACAGCCTTCACCCTTCGGAGAAGATGGATGGCTTGACTTCATATGATTTCTAAGACACTTCATTTTCCCTCCAACGCGTTGTCACCTGTCAACTGAATGAAATGTCTTCCTACCTCGCATTGATTTTTAAAGACAAAATATTTCACCAAAAGAAACGATAATGGGGAGGGGATCAATAGGGTTTGAGGACAGCATCAAGCTACCCGAGAGTTTTACCTTGTCATCTATTTGAAGAGCTGGTTGGTTCAGCTTTTCGCCACGTGTATCCGTTTTGTTTGGGCATTTATTTATTTATTTTAGCCTATCTGGCAAGTGCGTTGCTTGGCCAGTGAAGAAGATTTTAAGTTAAAATCCAAGCATATTGCTTAGTTCAATGTTAAGCGGTAAGACCAAAATGTGAATGAAATTCAAGGAACGCTTCACCCTTTTATAGCATTGCGAAAAGCATTGAGTTTTAATTCACGTGGCTAAAACAGCATTAACAGAATTGGAGCCATTCTGAATGCTTTACTGAATGGCACATTTAAGTAAGAGGGCAACCTAGAATGGAATATCTTGAAATGGCGAGATATTGATCTCCTCATTTAGCACATGAATTTGATAAGTAAAAAAATGGAAGGGAGATCAGCTTCAGGGTAGGCGTTTTGACATTGAATTCTAGTAATCCTGCCACGGGCCCGCCAGTAGAAGCCCGTGTGGAAAAATATGCTGGAAAGAGGGGAGGCAGTATTTCAGAACACATTGGGCTAAACGAATGTCGTCAAGTTGTAAGGCCCGCGAATCGGCCGACTCTACTGCAGTGTACGCGAGCTCGCTGAGCCGAGAGGGGGAGAGAGAGGATAAGTAAGACGCAGTTGTCAAAACACGGTGCTCTTCAGTTGAGAAAGCGCGTTTTCTCCGCCATGAGCTCCATGATCTCTGGAACTGCAGCTTCTTTATTGTCAAATCCTATTCTCCTGGCTATCCCCTTTCTAAGTTGTTAAGATTACAGATGGAGTCGAGGGCCGGTGTGCCAGTGTTGTAGTAATTTTCGAGTGGTATTATGCACCCCTCGTCAAAAGGAGTTAGAGAGGCAGATTAAGTGCTTTGATTACCGATTTACTAGCTGACGAGTCGCAGAGTTGAAAGGAACTGTTTAAGACACTGGAATTGTCCGCCCCATTCAATACAGTTGCATGTGTTACAAACTGAATAACTTTTATGAATGCAAAAGCTTGCGTTTCTCACCTTCCTTTACATGTGTAATAAAAGGTAGAAATCTTCACTCCCAATCAAGATAGGTTAGTTAAAATATAATAATATATATCATTTGTTAACTAAATGAAGCCGCGAATCGACAGTGATAGTAAACATTCGCAGATAAGCACGCTGCTCAACGATATTCTCTTATGACAGTAGCTAATGATGACATTCCCGGAAAATAAACCGATGCCGTGAGTCAATAAATATATGCGTATTTTCTGTATTTATATAATGTGCATTGTCCTAGCGCTGTTAGTAAGTAGGTAGGTAGGTAGGTAGGTTGATTGATTATATGCTCGGGAGGGGTGGGGGGGGGGGCGGGGAGAGGAGTACTGAAAGACTTCAATTAACATTGGGTTGTGGATTAGATACATCATTTCTAGGAGAGGCGCTATGCCGAAAACTAAAGAAAATGCAATTGCAGGGCCCTAATTTGTTCAGGAAGTCATGAAAATGAGGGCGGGTTTGACGAGGAGGATGATGAGAAAATGCCCCCAAGACCACGCATCAAACCCACGCCACTACCTACTCCCGAAGGCTTTGACGTAGAAGTTGGGGTACTGCTGCTGCTTTCTTCATGAATGAGTGGATGGTGATGATGGAAGGTGGACGGAGCAAAGTGACTTAATTCCAACAAGCTCTCCCGCAAGTTCGGAACATTCGGTCGCGGGTACTCTTCCAGTTGAGCCTTGTTGATAAGTGTGCGAGCATTGCCCATTCCAATGGAGTCACAACTAAGACTGGGGTTAGTGTTGTCTGGCAGAAAGACCAGTTGGAAGTAGCTTGCCAATTGGGCCAACTCACGACTCATTGAATTTGCACTCGCTCGCATCGCTTCCTCGATGTAAAGTCCCTCCAAACGGTTTAACTCCTCACTCGAAAGTGGTGACTAAAGGGGAGAGTGAAGTGGATCAGTCTCTAAGCAAACTCGATCCAATTACTGATTCATCTCAAGTCGATAAAGTAACCGGAAATAAGATGAATAATTGCACTATTAATGATAGACTATATATAAGACATGCAGTAATCTGAATTAAGGAAAGCCATCCACTCATGTAACTTCGCCATAATCGATATGATCCCTCACTATGGACCAGGAGGTGACAAATTAAAGGTCATTATTTATAATGAAGTGCGTGTTAATCACCAGTTCGTTGTTTAATGCCTATTTTATCCTTAAGTCCTTCTTGTTTAACCGCCTCCAGGGACTACATACTACCAAATTTTACTGCCAGACAGGATAACTGTAAGTAAATAGGACATTTCCCTTTCTAGTATTTGTAGAGCCTAGCATAAGCCCATTCCTGAGTATTCAAATTCAGCTCGGTCTATTCGGGTTGCCTTGAATCCAAATTGGTGACAGATATAATTGTGCCTCAATCGGAGTTTCTTATATACTTACTAGGAAGCAATACAGCCCAAATTTTCAGCTTCGATGTCGGCCTGAAGCCAATCTGACATTTCCTCTTTAATAATATCGCACGTTGTCCAACACGTTGTAGGACCTTTGAGACATTAATGAAAGCACACATGGTGGGCGAATAATCACAAGTACACATTAAATACGACTTGAAAAAGCGGAGAAAAGGTAAATTGAAAAAAAACTAACCAGGACGTGTGGCGCGAACTTGATGAGCTTGGAGCAACAAGATTCCACAACTTCAGGGGGCAGGGCATTGTCACTGCGTTTTTGACTAGTTAGAGCAATCAAATGTTTGGCAACTGTTTTAAGGGTCTGCAAGGCAAAATGCAACATAACGTAAATGGTCAAAATAAACACACTTTCTGAGATGATGACAGTTCCTTAACATACAAGACATGTACCTCCATCAAATTCCATTTGCTTTCTTCGGATATAAAGTCAATTACAATTAGATTGTGAAGCACATAATTAAAGGAAATAAAGAAGAAAGCGACATTTTGAGAAAGTAACACCATCAAACTTAAAGCCCAAATTCAGACGTGTTTAACCATTTCAATGGGCAATGAGGAGCCAAGTTGACACTTCAATCCAATGGGAATCTTTGCAAAAGAATGTTACATAATCAGTTGCATAAACCTTCCCACTTAACTTGCACTGCTGATACAAACATTTTTGATCAAATGGTATTACTTATTCTCAATTTCATAAACATATTTTTACTCACAAGGATTCCAAGACAAATGTTATCGTTTCAGAGACGTTGCTCCCTTCGGAAAGAGTATTAAAATTTCATGTGTACAGGGGTATTTACCACTAAGCTTAACCATATATTTATGGGTTTATCAAGAATAATCCCATTGGTTCAAATCATTACTTAGCGTCAGACAATAATTAATTTCCGTAAAAGTCCAACAATATATTTAATCTAAAACTTAAGATGGCTCCATGGTTCTAGAATTATTCTTCCTGTTAATGGTAGTTGAAGAAATACCAATTTTTCGCAATCACAAAGCCTAATTGAAACTAAGATTAGGCAAACATAAAATGTAGGCTCAGAAGTGCTGCTTATATCTGCATTGAAAACAATTTTATTATTTGTTTCCATGCCCTGTAATTATCCTCTTAGAAAGTGTTCCTTCGAAAAATAACAGCGATAGAACAAAGTGTGGCCTCTCTAAACTACAGTTAAGACACTCGACTGTTGTTTCACATTCTTAGCAAATTTATCTTAACTAAAAGGGAAACAAACCTTTGAATCGCGACCTGAAGATTCTGGCGTTGATACATAGGAACCATTACAAATAGTAGGACAGATACCACGAAGGAAGAGAAGGTTGCACCAAACTGCATTAGTTGACTTCAGCTCCGGGCATTTCTGCGGAGAGACAAAAAATTACCTTTAACCCCACATTCAGGTAAAATTAGATAATGTTTGTCTACAGTAGAGTTCCTTGAATGGATTCATTCGCTTAAACCCCATGTAAACAAAGCCGTTATTAACAAACTGAGTACTGTAGATCAGAATTTTTCGGCCACAATATCTGCCAGAGGAAATGTAGATCTCCATTGTTCCAGCTAAATATACTGATCATCGTAGATATGAACCACCTTTTTAAAACATTAAGCGAAAAGCGACATCCTGAACAAATGCAAAGTCTGAGGGAAGCAAAACGCATTTTAAAATTCAAGGTACTAACGCTTCTTCAAGTAAACAGCATAACTCAACGAGCTATAGTAGATAAGATCGAGTTTAAATAAACGAACAGGGGGTGTGCAATAGACTTACCTCCACGTGGTGCACCCTGGGCAACGTATACTCATACAGCAAAAAAGTCTATTAACTGGCAGTTGACTTCTCACTTCAAACTACCATCACCCCACTCTATGTCATATTCGACCCCTATCACAGTACTCATCTTACCCTTTCTGAGCCTTGACGTCTGCCTGTCTCTTTTACATCTGTGAATCACTCTTCTGTTCTCCCTCTCGAATTCTTCTCATTTTGA